CCCCACTGCAGCTGCCACTGCCGGCTGCCGCAGCTGCCAGCCCTCAGCCCTTGCTTCTTAATGCTGGCCCCACCCCTGGCCCAATGGTGGATGGGAGGCGATCTGGGACCAGGCTGGCTAGAGGAAGCTCTGTGAGAGTTTGAGGCACAGCAGGTCGCACCCCATCCATTCTCTGTGGAGGTGTGGTGCCTGGACTGGGCCCGTGCTGCTGCCTCTGTGGCTGCCTCTGTGGAAGGGGCAGCACTAGGACTGGGTCACGCTATGGCCTGTCCCATGCCACCTTTGCGGAAGGGTGCACGGCGCCACCTTCTTGACACCTCTGCATAAGGGGCCGCAGCACTGGACTGGTGGTGCAGGCCCAGCCTGCTCCTCCCACACAAGCGCCAGCCTGGCCCAACCCACCACTCCCGCGTGAGTGCCAGACCAGCCTGCCCCTACTGTGTGGCACAAGACCCACCCACCTCTTCCGTGTGGCACTGGCCCTAGGCACTCACAGCCTCTGTGGCTTTGTCCAGATAGACTTCCACACTAATTAGCATATTACCCTTTTATTAATATAAACTAGAGGACCGGTGCACAAAAATTTGTACACTCGGGGGGGGGGGGGGGGTGTGTGTCCCTCAGCCCAGCCTATGCCCATTCACAGTCCAGGACCCCTTGGGGATGTCCACCTGTTGTCTTAGGCCCACTCCCCAGTGGGTCAGGCCAAAGCTTGCAGTCAGACATTCTTCTAGCAGCCAGGGAGCCCTTGGGAAAGTCTGACTAAAGGCTTAGGCCACCAAGGGATCAGGTCTAAACCATTAGTTGGACATTCTTAGTGCTCCCGCGGAGGTGGGAGAGCCTCCTGGCACCACCACTGCGCTGGCCAGCCATGAGCCAGCTTCTGGCTGAGTGGCACTCCCCATATGGAAGTGCACTGACCACCAGGGGGCAGCTATTGCATTGAACATCTGCCCCCTGGTGGCCAGTGTGCATCATAGCAACTGGTCATTCTGCCGTTCAGTCAATGTGCATGTTAGAATTTTATTATTATTACTAGAGGCCCGGTGCACAAAAATTTGTGCACTTGGGAGGGAGAGGAGGTCCCTCAGCCCGGCCTGTGCCCTCTCACAGTCTGGGACCACTTGAGAGATAATGACCGGCTGGCTTAGGCCTGCTCCCGGGTGGCAGAGGGCAGGCCCAATCCCTAGGTGCAGCCCCTGGTCGGGCTCAGAGCAGGGCCGATTGGGGAGTTGGGGTGCCACCCCCTGTCATGCACAGAGCAGGGCGGATCGGGAGGTTGGGATGCCACCCTCAGTCACTCTCAGGGTAGGGCCGATTGGGGGGTTGAGGCACCGCCCCCGTCACATTCAAGGCAGGGTCGATAGGGAGGTTGTGGTACCACTCCCTGTCACCCACAGAGCAGGGCCCATCAGGGGGGTTGGAGCTCCGTACCCTATCACGCACAGAGCAGGGCCCATCAGGGGATTGGGGAGCTCCCCCCTGTCACGCACAGAGCAGGGCCCATAGGGGAGTTGGGTCACCGCCCCCTGTCACACACAGAGCAGGGTGGATCAGGGGGTTGGGGCGCCGCCCTCTATCACCCACAGAGCAGGGCCGATCAGGG